AGCTTATATCTCATGCCGGCGCGAGCTATGTCGGTGCGCTGTCCCGATCCACCACTCACTTGGTTGGTTTGAGAACCCATTTTTATGTATTATCTGTTCTAATTAGGCAAAGTGATTAAATTTGTTTTCATGGTTGCGTTGTTTGGATGGGGTGATTAGGTGTGTTGGAAGTTCGAAGGAAAGAAATATGAACTGGCTCACAAGTTCAATACGATAGTTCTCAACCATCGGTGGATTGAGGATTGCATAAAGCAAGGAAAACGAGTTCCTGAGCGTCCTTATATTCTGCAATGGTATGCCTAAATTGCTTAGTTTCCCATTTCTTTACGAAATGGTGTTTTAGATTACATCTGGGTTGTTAGTATTTTCCAGTTTAAAATTCAAAAATGACTGCTTTTTTCCGAATTGAGACTCTAAATTGCCTATATCATTCGCCGGCTGTTCACTTAATTGATTTTACTTAACTTTACTTAAGATTAAAGATGCTAGCTTCAGCGAGCTAATTATGTGCCATATTCCTTGGTTTAGGATCTAAGTTTTTAGCAATAACCAATAAGTGATTTGATAGGGGATATAGATGTTAGCATAAGTGAGCTGTTACTTCCAGATTACTAGTTTAATCTTGTTGCTGCTGCTTAATTTGTGTGTTTTACTTGCAAAATAAATTTGTGATCAGGGATTGATGCCTTTTGGGTTTCAATTCTTTGCAGTGGACAGGAAGTCGGACCCTTATTGCTAGAACCTCCACCTGTTGCTAAGGTGGGTGTCTCGACTAAGAACTGGAATGTGCTTTCTGACAAATCAAATGTTTGTGATGACTCTGAACAAATTATCGAGTTGGGGTGTGGAGCTTCTCGCCGTTCTGTTTTGACTGATTCATGTCTTTTAAACGAGGTAGCTTCAGTAAAAATCTATCTTCTACAACTAATTTCATCGTGCATGTTTTCTGTAAAATTCCTTCGTTGAAGCATTTCTGTATGTCTCATTTCGGCAGGCTTGTTTGGTTCAGAATGATCTGATAATACTTATTCATGTGAATTTACTGTAGGATTTGTTTCCTGAATTTAAAGAAAACAACAGTTCTCTTAAGTCAAAGCAGAAACATGTTAGAAGGAATTCAAAGCAAGAACTGCGATCATGTAGCAGACCCTGTTTTCAAGATCCTCCTTTAACTACATCACTTAGAATGGAGGTAATAAATTCAACTAACTTTTAGGCATCTTTTTTTTCGTTCTTCTTTTGCCTCTGGTGGTCTTCTCTTGTATATTGTTTGTGGACTTGGGTTGCGACCCTTATAAGCTTTTTTGCATTTTTTTTAATGGATAAGTGTTTATGTAATTGTCAAGCAAAAGAAGTTCATGGAATTAAGCTTCATATTTCTACGAAATGTTCTATAAGGCCTGATAGCTCTATGATCAAGTAACAATGAATGTATGGCCTTCAATTTTCAATATCAGATCATTAAGATTAATCACTACCATTATGCAATCTTAACACCCTTTTTCCTTTTTCTTTTTTCTTTTCTTTTTCTTGGTGGGAAGCTTCAAGAGTCTTCCACACATTTGGCAAGAGCTAAAAGAAATATTTCCAGTGGAAATGGAAGCAGCATGGCTGAAACTTCACGAAAAGGAAGAAGACTTGCAAAATGGAATATCGGTAGAGATATGAAAGAATCAGCACTCTCAGACTCTGATCAAGAGTGCCACCCAATCAGATTTCAGAATATGCATAAGGATGTTGTCACAGTCCTTTCTGACGATTCAGGTGAAGAAAGAAATGGTAATATATTGGGAACTGAAGGAAAAACTGACAATGGCATGCATATCCGAAGACGAATCAGAAATCGTGGTCTGAAAGGTGTTCTGGAGGTTGATGAGAATCACCTATCTCCTTCCAAGGATCCAAATATATATGTTGAGGATGCACCAACTTCTCTGGAGGGAACTCCACAAGATGGATGCTTTGAAGTTGAGAACTCGAAAGAGGAATTCAAAAACAGGTTTGGGACTGAAGATGCCACCAGAATTCCTCCTTCGATGGAGTTATCATGTGTAATATGCTGGACAGAATTTAGTTCAACCAGAGGAATTTTGCCATGTGGTCATCGGTTCTGTTATTCATGCATTGAAAGCTGGGCTGGTCATATGGTAAAAAAATTATGCTCTCCTTCACTTTATAATTGTATAGTTGGTTGTGCAAGCTTTCTAAATTTTCTTCGCGTTTACTTAAATTCTGAAACAAATTTTCATTCTGGTTCCAATTGTTGTTGAACGTCTAAGGGTACACAATTCACAATTCATATTGGGTGATGGTTTACATGTAGGGTTCGAAGAGCAAGAATTCAACATGCCCTTTATGCAAGGCTAGTTTTACAAGCATTACCAAGGTTGATGATGCTGACATGATTGATCAGAAAATATACTCCCAAACCATTCCATCAGCCCCAAAAATGGACATACCAGTTCCTACTTACCGAGGAATACCCAATTTTGGTGCTCAGGTATGCAAACTCCCCTTCTTGTTGTTAGATTTGGTGTTAGATCTCATCCGAGTGTTGGTAAGCTTGGTGCTAGGTAAACTTCGTTTTAAACCTCTCTTGGTACATCATTTGGCAATATGTCGGTAGGGAAATCTTTTTTGTGTGACATCTAACTCCTGCTTCATGACTGCTTACTTTTGTTAGGAGTTGAATGTATTAGTTGTCTTTCCAACTGAAAATCAGTAATCTGCGGTATTAGCTAAACACTCCTGTGCTGTTATATTAAGTATAGGATTGCTGATTAAATTCTTTTGCTGTTTAACCTAATACTTATGTGCTATTATATTGAGTACAGGATATTGAAGATTGTATGATTTTAAAATCTTTTGCTGTTTTGGTAGTCTCTGTGGCTAATTGTTCCTTTTCTTTTATTGTCCTCTGGGGTTAAACAGTCCCCATCAGGAACTGTTTGTGTTGCATGTAGTGGTCGGGAACCTGAAGAACTTCTGGTCGCTTGCAATCTCTGCCACAGCCGGTGCATCCATTCCTACTGCCTGGACCCTCCCTTATTTCCATGGACGTGCATTCACTGCAAGGATCTCCGACTGGTCTACCTTCTCAACCATTGATATACATCGCCAAAAAACATCAAGAATGCCTCAATCCTTCATAGAGTAATGGAAAAGCTGACATCGTGTTTGTACCAAGTATCTTCAAGGGGTTAAGAAGTCATGAGCACTGGCAATGAATGCGGTCCTTTAGCTCTACCATTCTTATAGTCCATACTCTCTAGCAGAAAGATGGTGTTATCTTCTCAAGCTTGAGATGAAACCAAGGCATTTTGATCAACAAATGTTTCTAAATATATCTTAGATCTGATTGTCCAGATTGTGTTTTAATGCAGACAAATTCTTAAAACATTTGAAACTGTTTTTGATTTCACATATAAATATAATTTCATTTGAGGAAGGTTGGTCAATTCCTATTACTTGTTTTCGTCTATTTTTGCAATAGTATTTCGTTATATATTCAAAATATTATTTCATGTATTCTGCTCTTCTTTTCGACCATTTCTTACGTCACTCTCGTATCCCTTTCTCTGCTTGCTCTTTTATAATCAAATTCACGCTACTAATCGACTTTTGGCTTTTCAATATCTATAAAGTATCTGGCCCGTAGGTTGTAAAAAAGGGAAAAAGTATGAATAAAATACGTAAGTGTTTTATTTGATAAATTTTTTGCAAAATACAAATGAAAAGTTCAGCCACTCAATAGTATTTAATATATATTATTTTTATTCAACAATATGTGAAAAAATATATGTATAATATGTGAATTTTATATGTATTATTGAAGATTTTATAAATATACGTGCATTAAACATGAAGAATACTATGTACGTGTATAATGTGTATTTTACATTTGAATTTTAAAATTTATTTCTTTTATCGAGTCTTTAAGATATGTACAAAAAACGGAAATATTTTTAAAAATACATACGTACATATATAAAACGAATATTAAATGGGAATTTGGTAACTAACAAATCGCTATATTTCGTAACATTTTGCTCACATAAAATGATTGATACTAAAACCAAAATAAAGATAACAAACTTAATGAAACATTTTCTAGAGTGCTTTCTATCACTTTCTTCTGTTTTCTGTCACTTTATCCATTTATATTGATTTGTGGTCCTATGACTCATTCGTTCACCGTTTTGCGAAAAAAGGAGAAGATAAAAAACTCTTTTTGAAACCTTTTTCAGTGTAATATGTGGATAACCTTAGCCCTAAGTGTAGTGGAAAATGAATGTGGAGTTGATTTTCCGGAAATAATAATGCAAGCCTTTGAAATGACGAGTGAACTTTCTGTCTCTTGTCTTCTGTCTTCCATATATCTCATTCTATGACCTAATTTTATTGCGTTAATCTCAATGACTTCGATCAAATGGAACATTTGTTTGCAGATGATGTATGTATTTATTTATCTTGATGAGATGGAATGACAAGGGATTTCTTCCACATTAGGTCGGAAAGTAGTAGAAGATGCATGAAAACAAAAATGCATGACGACAACTGAAGGAAACTGCTTAATTTCCAAATTTTAACCACGTTTCAAATTTTATGTGTCCACACACTAAAGTTGAGAGGGGATAAGAAAACGGTGCAAATATATGTATTCACATGGGTTCTTGCTTCTTCTTTTTGGCATCTTTGTGCTATTGGGGATTTCATTACTCCAAATTCTATGCTTCAAAGGATCCAGAAGCTTGGCGAAGAAAGAAAGTAGTTTTGGGGCATATTCATGTTCTAGCTATCTAGGTGCTTAGCTGCTTATGCATATATGGAAAACAAAAACATGGAGGGAAATTAATAACCTCTCTCCAAAGATTGTAATCTTGGAAAAATTCACACCTTGTTTTCTTGATATGACAATGTTATGAATAATATGATTCTATGAGTGATTGTTTGTGTATGAGAGAGAGAGAGAGAGAGAGAATCAAAGTTAGGGAGGCAAATTATCCAAAACAGGGGAGGAAGGCCCTCCTTAATCACCTTATTCTATTGCATAAGGGAGTATACCCAAAAGAGGGGAGAAAGAAAGCATTAGCTTTTGATGTTTTGTGACATATATATACATATACAAATACAATCATCAAAAAGCGAAGGTTTTGGACTTGGGAGAATCTGCTACTTTCAAAGTCTTTTCAATGAGCTTTCTGGCCTTCTTGCTCCTTATTTCAACTCTCATGCTCTCACTCTTTTCAATCTTGTCATAAGGCTTCTTGTTCACCTTCAAAGACCTCAACTTGGATTTCAAATTCAACACCAACCTCTCCAATCCCAGCATCATCATTTCAACTCTACAAAACCTGCAGATTGAGCAATGAATAAGAAAACCAAAACCCAAATTCTGGCGACAACCCACCAAAGGGAACTGAGATTTGAGACAGAGAAAGTAACATAACATGTGTTTTTGGCAAAACAAAGTTTGAGATTGAAAGGTTGAGATTTGAGAGTGAACTTGAAATCTATGTAATATGAGAGAGAGAGAAAGAGAGAGAGAGTGCTAGAGAGATCATGGAGATGAAGGGAGTTTGGAAAAAACAAAGTGGGAGAGGTAATATGAATGAATCAAAACGGTTGGAGGAGTTGGAGCTCACAATGTAAGCGTTTATAGAACTTGGAAGGCTTACCACGCAATACTTATGAGCCTTATTGATCACCACCCCCTTTGACTTCTCTTTAATGCCCACTTTTTGGAGAAACACTTCCTCTTTGCAGGTTTCTATATAATTTTATGTATCTATCTTTCTTATCACGTGAAAATTTAAGACTTTCTCCGCATTTGGGTGGTTTTTAAGTAGCTTGAGCTAGTCTGGAAAAAAAAAAGTTGATTGAGCTAGGATTATATGTTTTTAGTGTTTACAAGAACGACTTGATTCTCTGTAAAATCCAAGGGTCATTTTTCTCATATTTCTTTATTTTTTAGAAAGAAAAAGATGGAAGGAAAACAATCACAATTGTATATTTTTGTTATTGTGTCCTTTTCAGTCTTGACAAGAGCGATTGCATTTCATCCAATGCGATACCATTTTCCTATTAGACCATCTCCAACCATGTTGGGGCTAAACTCAAATTTTCACCCTCCAAAATACAACTATTCATGTATTTTCAGGACTCAAATTTTTTTTTCCTCCAACCTTGTAGACTCATAATTTGAGTCCGCAACTTTATTAAATTGTTTAAGAATGATTAACCCCTAAATTTTGATTCTTGTTAATTTTTCTTGACATTATTTTTGTTTCAACACTCGTGATTTAATTTTCTAAACATTTTAACCTAAAAAAAATAAAATTCCAAAACATAATTGAATTTCACTTAAAAAATAAAAATAAGTACAATACTATACGTATGCTCGGAATAATTCGAACTCTTCATTGAATTATGTAAGTGTGTTTAAATTATCTAAGCATTTTTAAATAAACGACAATCATTAAATTTTGCCGTTGAGATTGCTTAAAATTAATCATGATTATTGATTACAAATATAGTTGTTGGAATATTTAAAA